CCAGACTGGTCTTGAACTCCTGACCTCATGTGATCCACCCTGCTCTGCCTCCCAAAGTGCTGGGATTACAGCCATGAGCCGCTGTGCCTGACCTGTTTTGTGTATTCTTAATGCACTGGCCTTGGGGGTCTTGATCCTGGAGAGACCACCCCTCCCGGAGCCCAACTTCCTTGTCACACTCACACCAAGCCAATGTCCCTGCCCTTAGTCACCCCAGGGCGAGGTACCAGCCAACCAGGGCTTCTGAGTCCAGGGCCCAGGGAAGTCACTCCAACTCCAGCCCCATCCTGATCTCACCCTGCAGTGCCCACCCTGCCGCGTCTGCCCTTCCTGCAGAGGCCCCAAGAACTGGGGCTCCCCACCACCCCGTGGTCCTGTGTGCTGTGCCCCCTTCTCTTGGGAAATGACATATGTCTTCTTCGCAGGCTGCTGTCTCCACATCTGCCACCTTACCACGCCTGATTAAAAGCAAACCCAGGTACATATTTTAGAACAAAGGTGTGCGGCTTCCAGAAATCAGCCCTGGAAGCGAGAAGGGGCCAGTGGCTTTGCCTGGGGAGGGAGCCTGGTACTGCCAACATGTGGACCTGTGGAGGGCTTGTGCCAGCCCAGGCCACGCCATGCACCGGCACGGCAGGTCCACACCGTGGGATGGAGTCACAGGAAGATGGCAGAGCCCTTTCCAAGGGCAGCACACAGTTTTGTAAGGTTTACTAAGTGAAGGCTCCTTAACCACAAGGGGTCCCACCCTGTCTCCAGCTTCCCCTCTTGCTGGGCTGGCAGTGCCCAGAGGCAGTGGGCACGCTGGGGCCTGGCATGGGGATGTTTAGCTGTGGAGATATCAGCAGGGTCAGCAGCGTCTGCCATGCCCTTCCCGGCCACTTCCTTCCAGACGTCCTGGGGTAGAGCTTCCAGCAACAACCATGGCAATTAACAAAGAGGAGTGACTCACAGGAACTTCTGGAAGAGGAGGAAAGACCTTGCTGATTTAACAGGAAATGCCAGCATCAACGAGAGGATGCAGGACTCTCACACCAGCCTCATGAGAACCTGATGCACACAGTCATCCCAGAGGGCGCCTTGGACCAGCACCTGGGAAAAAAAGGCAGCACCGAAACCCACCCGCCTGCAGAAGAGAGAAACCTGAGCAAGTTTCCTCCAAATTTCACAACAGGCTCCACCACGTGGATGATGTAAACAGTCATCAGTCCACTTCTGTAAAGCAAGTCACACTTTTAAAAAAAAATCAACCATGCTAGGCCAGGCACAGTGGCTCACACCTGTAATCCCAGCACTTTGAGAGGCCCAGGAGGGCGGATCACAAGGTCAGGAGTTTGAGACCAGCTTGGCCAACATGGTGAAACTCCTGTCTCTACTAAAAATACAAAAAATTAGCCGGGTGTGGTGGTGGGTGCATGTAATGCCAGCTACTCAGGCGGCTGAGGCAGGAGAATTGCTCGAACCTGGGAGGCGGAGGATGCGGTGAGCCAAGATCGTGCCATTGCACTTCAGCCTGGGCAACAGTGTGAGACACCGTCTCAAAATAAAATAAAATAAAATCACACATGCTAGAGGGCCTAAGGATTACCTTTCATCTTCCTCTTTTCTCTTTGGGAAATGATATTGCGAAATTGTAAGAAGAGACAATAAAAAAGTGGATAAAGACCATTACAAATAAAAAATCATGGTATTTTCTGGATCTTGTGGTGCTCGTGCTTTTAGTCAATATTTTAGAAATGCTTAATTTGTTACGATTTCTTCTCTCATTCTGAATAAATATGCTTCTAATTTTATTTGTTTTTGAGACACAGTCTCGCTCTGTCACCCGGACTGGAGTGCAGTGGCTCAATATTGGCTCACTGTGTCCTCCCCTCCTGGGTTCAAGCGATTCTCCTGTCTCAGCCTCCTGAGTAGCTGGGATTATAGGCATGTGCCACCACGCCCAGCTAATTTTTGTATTTTTAGTAGAGATGGGTTTTGCCATGTTGGCCAGGCTGATCTCAAACTCCTGACCTCAGGCAGTCTGCCCACCTCAGCCTCCCAAAGTGCTGAGATTACAGGTGTGAGCCACCTCGCCCAGCCTCCCTCTAATTTTATAATAATTATTTTGCACTTCTTAAGAGAGATCCCCATCGACTTCGGGCTGCCTGAAACCTGTGTGAACTCCAGCCTTCGCTGACTTGGTCCTCTGCCTTGTGGCGGAGGTGCCCAGAGCGGTAGGGAGAGCATCCCCAACAAGCAGCTGGACCCCACCTCACATGACACCCCAAAATCAGTCCTGGCTGGCTCACAGATGTAAATGTAAAAGGTAAAAAGACTCCCCTTCCAATTGGGGAGCCTCTTTAAGACCTCAGGGGATGCAGGTGCTTAAACAAGACACACCCTGCGGAAGGGAAAGGTCAGTGGGATGGTGGGAAAGCTAGGACCACCAAAAGCCACCGTGTGGGGGGGGTCTGGGCACACGTGACACGCACCAGCTGGCCGCCTTGCTCACAGATCTGGCATTTGCAAATACACCTGCTTGCTAAATGTGTTTAAACCTCAGAATCAATGTTCACTGTGCTTCCACGGTTACTCACGGAGGTGCTCAGCGCCAAGAAGTCTGAGATCCGGTTTCAGGACTGGCTCCTCCTGAGGCTGGAGGCAGAACCGGTCTGTCCTCTCTTTCCGCCTCTCTCCAGCTCCAAGCCCTCCGTGTTCCTGGCCTGAGGAAGCGCCACCCCGATCTCCGCCTTCATCCTCCCACGGCCTCTCCCTGCGAGCGTGTGTCTCCAGATCCTCTGTCCATAAGGACGTGCTGTGCTGGAGTGAGGCCCGTCCTCATGACCGCACCTTAGCTTGTTTGACTCTGTAAAGACTCTGTCTCCAAACAAGGTCACGTTCTGAGGTGCTGGGGTTGGGACTTCAACACAGAATTTAGGGGGACAGTTTTATCTGTAAGTGTGATTAGACTTTAGCATCCTGGTTTCCTCAGGGAGCGGCGTTGAGAGGCTTCACCAGAACCTGACGTGCCAGCACCCTGTCTCTACTTCCCGTCCTCCAGAGCTGCAAGAAACATGTTTCTGTGGTCTAAGCCTCCAGTCTGTGGTCTCCTGTCACGGCAGCCCAGACTGACCAAGACGGCCAGGAAAGGGGTGGGAGAGGGAGACACGGTCCGGGGACAGGGAGGGCCTGCCCAGAGGGGGCTGTCTCCACCGCAGACAAGCTCCATCGGGGCTGGTGCTGATGTTCAGGCCGCAGTTCAAAGTTTTAAGGCCCCATCAGCGAGAAGCAGCTGGTGGCTTCAAAAGACACCCTAGGAAGTCCGTGGAAGGTCTGATAGAAGCATGCTTTGCCCACCATTTTAATTAACGTGTGCGTCAGAAATCACCAAATTCTGGTAGAAATGGTCAGATGAGGGTTTTCCAGGTGTTTCTGACGCTGTCCACTGTCTCCTTGATGGTGAAAGGCATGTTAAACAGTTTTTCCTCAGAAGTTGGCTGCCGTTAGCCCGTGGGAAGTGGGCTGAGTGAGCCCCCACCTCCTCATGGGCAGCGTGGCTGGGTCCGAGCTCTCCCAGAGCCAAGGCACAGGGGCCTTGGGGCCTGGCTGAGGGCAGGCTCAGGGTTGGGGTCTGGAGGAGGAGACAGGACACGCAGGGGTGGTGACTCTGGGCCTCCCAGCACAGGCAGGCGTCAGGAGTCAGCTCGGGAGAGCACCTGCCGCAGGGCCTCTGCTCTGGGTCTCCGCCTGGACGTCTTCCTGCTGCCTCCAGGCAGCCCCTCCTGGTCACTCACATTCTTCAGTGTGTCTGTCCCAAGCACAGCTCCTGGAGGGCCAGGGTCCCTGAGGCTTTCGCTACTTTCCCTTCACCTGGCGGCCCACCCAGGGCCCTGCCCCGGCAGCTTAACCAACAGCTTCTGGACAAACAGAATCCTCCCAGTTGAGGACTGAGCTGAGGACAGAGTTCCCCTCCACCATTTCGGGGGCCTGCTCTCCTCCTTCCTTGGACTGGGTCCCCAGCTCACCCTCCACTCCCGGAATCCCCCTGTGGCCTTGGTGCCCCCACCAGTAGAGCCCCCAAGGCAGCTCTGCCCGCTCCTTCCCTCCACAGCCCACAGCCCCTTTCCTGCGTCTCCCCAACATCCTCCCCCCAACCCCCGGACTGCCTGCCGAGCTGGCCTTGGAGCCCCGTCTCCGCAGGTCCCTGCTCGGTGGCTCGTGATGGGCTCCCTGGCCGTGCAGACTCCTATCCACGGTTAGGCCCATGGGGGCAGGGACCCCGGAGTGCTGCCAGCGGCGGGGAGGGGTGACCTGCGTAGACGCGACTCCCAAAGGCCACCAGTGCCACGTGAACAAGACCCGGGGCGCGCGTGGGGCAGGAGAGCTGGGCGCTTGGCGTGAGGCCCGGGTGGGGGTCGCGAGGGGACAGCCCGGGCTGCAGGCTGGTCCCCCGTTGCAGTGAGGACAGCGGTCGGGGGCAGAGGGTCCTGGGCCTCGGGCACGGCGAAGTCGGCGCGTGCGAGGACCCGACAGACGGAGTCGCCTACGCACCGCAAACCCCGCTTCCCGGGACCCACCCTGGGAGGCCTGCGGTGCCTGGGCGTCCCGCGTGGGAGGCGTCTGTCTGCGCAGTCGCGGGCCGGGGTGCCACAGGTGCAACGCCGCGCGTGCGGCGTCCAGAGGCCGCGTGAGAGGAAGTCTGGGCCGGCTGCGGCCAGGCTGAGCCCACGCGGACCAGTTCCCCGCGGCGGGTGCGCCAGGGGCCCCCCACGCGCCCCCCACGCGCCCCCCACGCGCCCCCCACGCGCCCCCCACGCGCCCCCCACGCGCCCCCCACGCGCAGGCCCCGCCCCGCCCGATCACAAGGCCCGCCCCCAGCCCCGCCCACCCACAGGGCCCGGCCGCGTCCTGTAGCAGGCCCCGCCCCACCCACGCAAGGCCCGCCCCCTCCCCGCCCACCAGCAGCGCCCGCCCCCGTCCCGAGGCTCGCGCCTGCGCAGTGGGACGGGCGCAGTCGGAAGCCGGGCTGGGCTGCGCCGCGCGGGCGGTGAGCGGCGGCTCCGGTCCCCTCAGCGCGGACCCGAAGGGGTTCGGGCCGCTCGGGCCGGCAATGGCGGCGGCGGCCGAGCCTGGGGCCCGCGCCTGGCTGGGCGGCGGCTCCCCGCGCCCCGGCAGCCCGGCCTGCAGCCCCGTGCTGGGCGCAGGAGGCCGCGCGCGCCCGGGGCCGGGGCCGGAGCGGGCGGGCGCCAGAGCCCCGGGCCCCGCCGCCGCGCCGGGACACAGCTTCCGGAAGGTGACGCTCACCAAGCCCACCTTCTGCCACCTCTGCTCCGACTTCATCTGGGGGCTGGCCGGCTTCCTGTGCGACGGTGAGCGCCCGTGCCCCTTCCCGCGGGCACGGCCTGCGCCGGACGCACGCGCTCGCCCGGGACCCCGGCCCCGGTGCCCATCTGGCCGCCCCCTGCGCCTGCCTCGCGGGCGGGAGCCTGAGCCGAGGGGGCGCCGGCGCTTTCTGGGCGGGGGGCGGGGTCCCAGCCCTGCCCGCGGGACCTGCCTTCGTGGGGCGGCCTGGGCCTGTGCGCCGTGGGGCTCGGGTTTCGGGGGTTCCTCACCTGGGAGGTGCGGGCAGCGTCTCCATAGTGCTGCGCGGTGGCCGCGACCCAGCGCTGTGCCTTATGCAAGCGCGACCTCCCCTGGGGTCCCCACGGCCGGCTTCCTTTCCCAGCGGCTGGGGCAGCAGGTGTGGTCAGGCAGGGCTGGTCTGGGCCTCTGGCCCTGACCCTTCTCATGCTGTGGCCCGGAGCCCCAGCCTCCTGCAGAGCCAGGCCGCACCCTGCTCCACCCAGCTGCCCAGCCCTGGCTGGGGTGAGGATGGCCCTTCCCTGCCCTGGGCCCGGGCGCTTCCAGGGCTGGCTCTCTTCTTCCCCCGCGGCAAGCAGGCAGGCCTTGGGGACCACAGCCCAGCCTCTGAAGGGAGCCAAGGACAGGACTGGAGTCCTGGACGTTTGACACTTACTGTGTTCTGGCCAGGGACACCGAGGTGGGAGGGGCTAAGCAGCCTCTGCCCTGCTCAGAGATTCAGGCCTTTGCTCTGAGGATAGGGGACCACTCAGGCCAGGGGCTGCAGAGGAGACTGGGCCCTTCACACAGGGATGTTGTCTGTGGTGGAAACGGCAGTTGTTCCGACCCCCAGGGCTGCACAAGGTGGCCTGGCCCGCCGGCTTCTTTGTTACATCAGAGCATGGCATTGCCATGCCTGCTGCCTGGGGACGCCAGGGGCTTCCCCCAAGGTGGGGGGTGTGCATGTGTGGCTGAGGCAGCTCCCAGCCTGAGGCCAGACTCTGGGTCCCCTCCCCTTTGGGAGGTGGCACAAGGGCCCTCCTGGGCAGCACCCGTGGAAGAGGGGCTGGCAGGGATGTGGGAAGAAGGGCGCCCTCCCCCTCCAGGAGAACCAAGCATGGGGTGTGGGGTGAGCAGGCCCTGTCTCCACAACAGAGGGGACCTGGGCGCTGCCTGTCCCCCCTTCTTCTCTCGGCGGACCCCAGCTTGCTTCCAGAGCTTTTCTCCTAAGCCGCCAGGAGGAGCTTCTCTTGGTCCCATCTGGAGACTGGGGTGGCCAGGTGAGGGGTGCTGTGTGGCAGCACCAGCAAGGCCTTCTGGGAGAGCGGCCTTTCCCGGCTGGGCTGCCTGGGGCTCCATGGCACAACCTTCACCCAGGGCTGTCTTGGCAGGTGTGTCACAGGGTACCCTGCCCATTCCCAGCCCCCAGCAGCCTTTGCCCCAGCCCAGGGCTCCTGGCTTCCCTCCTGACCCGGCCCCACCCTCCTGCCTCTCTCACTGCTGGGGTGTGGTGCTTGCCGCTCTTATGCCCTCCTGAGCACCCTGCTGGCTGAGGTGCTCCCTGGGCCCTGTGCACATAGCCAGAGCTCCTTGGGAGCCTTGGGGCTGCCCACTCCCCAGCGGCTCCTGCCTTTCCAGAGCCCTCAGCTGCCCCAGGTGGCTCCAGGTCTGAGGCATGATGACAGCACACAGCAGGGACAGTTAGGGGGAGTGAGGGACAGGTGTACCTGGCAAAGCTGATCTGCAGAAGCCGGAGCAGCCCCTGCCGCTTGGTGAGCCCCCAAGCCGTCCCTTGAGAGGCCCAACTGCAGAGGCAGGAGGCGTGCTGGGCCTGCCAGAGGGGCAAGGGCTGCTGTCTGGACGAGAGGATGCTCACTGTCCTCCAGGATGGTCCGGGGCACCCAGGTGCCTACTCTGGGCTGCAGGCTTTCCCCAGTGAGGGGTGAACTCGAGGACCACAGGGCCCCTGGTGCTGCATGGTGGGGATGGTGGGAGTTGCCCTGGGGCCTCTGACTTCCTGGGTGGGACAGCATTGGGTGGGACGGGCCTGCTCATGCAGCTCTCATTCCCACAGTCTGCAATTTCATGTCCCACGAGAAGTGCCTGAAGCACGTGAGGACCCCATGCACGAGTGTGGCGCCCAGCCTGGTCCGGGTGAGTGTGGGGTTGGGTGTTGCTGTTGCAGGAGGCTGGGGAATGTGTCAGCTGTTGGGTCGAGCACTGAGACCCTCTGCGTCAGACGTTACTGATACCTGCGGTTGAAAGGCAAAGGTCAGATACCGCTCGGGATTAAAAGCCTTAGCACCCACCCTGCATGGACCTGCAGGGAACAATGCTGAGAAAAGCCCGTCCCAAAGGTCGCGAATAGCAAGATCCTGTCCACAGAACGTGCTCAAAATGACAAACTAAAGGGAGCAAAGATGAGAGGTTTCCACAGGTGGAGGAAGTAGGCGTGGCTGTGACATACAGCGTGAGGGCTCCTGGGAGGATGGAGATTTCGGCTTCTGGGGCTGTCAGCATCGCCACTGTGACTTGACTGAAGTTTGCAAGATAGCACACTTGGGGGAGCTGACAGAGGCTTCAAGGGGTCCTCACAGCTGTGTGTGAACCCACAAGCATGCAAAGACAGAAAGCCTGGAGCCCGAGGACATCTTGGCCACCAGCCTCCCTCTGAGGGCTCCGGGTGGGGAGGGAGGTGACTGGCTCAGGGGACTTCTCTGACAGTGGTGACAGCAGGGACAGGTAGGAAGGGCCGGACTTATTCCTCCTTCAGCTGTCAGTCTCACCCTCTGCAGACTAGGCTCCCATGTCCACATTCCCTGCCGAGCTCAGGCTGCAGGGTGGGTGCAGGCCTCGAGATGGGCGCGGGTGTGTGGCAGGAGGGGAGGCTAGGCCGGCAGGTGCACTCCTGCCGCTGGTGGGCATCTGGCTGCGCCATCCTCTCTAATGTTGACGCCCTATTCCTAATGATGCCGCTCCTGGGCTGTGAGTAGGAGGCCTGAGGACACTGGCTCTGGTGGCGGCCGGCACCCTGGGGACACCACATTGGCTTGGGCAGCACCCCATGTGGACGGCCTGAGGCTGCAGCTTTTAAAAGTTGATTTTAATGTCTTCTTTTATACTTTGCTAAATTAGGAAAATACAAATGTGTTTCAGCTATATGCACGACAGGAAATTTAGAAGACATTTAACAAAGTAGAAGTCACCTACCACTCTGGCATGCTCACAGCTGCTATTCTGGAACATGGTCTTTTCGTGTATGCTTTTATTGGGTGTGGTTTAAGTTTGAGGATAAGGACAAGAGTCGGGAGTGAAGACCTGGCCTTTCTCCTTCCCTTCTTGTGGAAAAGCAGCAGCCCGGCCCTCCCCAGCATAGCAGTGTTGACCCACACTCGCTATGGCCCCATTGTCTCCCAGAGGGCAGTCCCTGTGTGCTTGGATCTCCCTGGCTCTGAGGAGACAGATGCCAGGCGGCTGACAGCCTCGCCTGTCCCAAGGAGGGAAGGGGTGGCAGGTGGGTCTGGCTTCCTGGTGCTACGCAGGGTTGCTGGGGGAGGCCACAGCCTGCTCCCTGCTTTTGACCAGCCAGGCTGCCCCCAGGACTGGGAGTGTGGTTGCTCCTGGGGCCTCCTGATGGCACAGCCGGCTCCGGCTGGGCAGTTCCCAGCAGGAGTTCTGCAGGTGAAGAGGGAGGAGTGGTGGGTGTTGGGCGGCCCGTGGCCCATACCGAGAGCATGGAGGTGAGGCTGCGTCTGCCCTGGCCAGGTGGCTGTGGCCCATTGCTTCGGCCCCCGCGGACTCTACAAGCGGAAGTTCTGTGGTGTCTGCCGCAAGGTCTTGGAGGCGCCCGCGCTCCGCTGCGAAGGTACAGGGAGCCCGCTTGGCTCCCCTCGCCCCTCCCAGCATCCTGGTCTCTGTCGCCCAGGGTGGCCCAGCCCACCCCCTGCCGTGCAGCTTGTCAGGTGATGGGGGGTGCCGAGGGCTGGCTGCCCGGCAGCCACAGGACAGTTAAAGGATTCGGGGTGCTAGGTGGTGGAGACAGGGCCAGACCCAAGTGCCAGCGGAGGCAGGGGTCCTCCAGGGTGGGGCTGAGGCCTCTAACCCTGCCTGCCCCCCAGTGTGTGAGCTGCACCTCCACCCAGACTGTGTGCCCTTCGCCTGCAGTGACTGCCGCCAGTGCCACCAGGATGGGCACCAGGACCACGTGAGTGCGCTGGTCCCAGGGAGGCCTGGGGGATGGGGTGGGCCCAGCTGCTGACTGTCCCCCACTCTCCAGGACACCCACCACCACCACTGGCGGGAGGGGAACCTACCCTCGGGAGCACGCTGTGAGGTCTGCAGGAAGACGTGCGGCTCCTCTGACGTGCTGGCCGGCGTGCGCTGCGAGTGGTGTGGAGTCCAGGTGGGCACTGGGAGGTGGAGGTGGAGGGTAGGAGAGATGTGGCGCGGGGTCCAGGTGGGCACCGGGAGGTGGAGGTGGAGCGTAGTGTGGGGTCCAGGTGGGCACCGGGAGGTGGAGGTGGAGGGTAGCGTGGGGTCCAGGTGGGCTCCGGGAGGTGGAGGTGGAGGGTAGCGTGGGGTCCAGGTGGGCACCGGGAGGTGGAGGTGGTGGGTAGTGTGGGGTCCAGGTGGGCTCCGGGAGGTGGAGGTGGAGGGTAGCGTGGGGTCCAGGTGGGCACTGGGAGGTGGAGGTGGAGGGTAGCGTGGGGTCCAGGTGGGCACCGGGAGGTGGAGGTGGAGGGTAGTGTGGGGTCCAGGTGGGCACCGGGAGGTGGAGGTGGAGGGTAGGAGGGGCATGGCACGGGGTCCAGGCTGGGTCTGCAGTATGTGGGGTCTTTCCCTGGACCCAGCACACCTGGTGCCCCCAGCTCCGGCTTAGGCCCTTGCACCCCCAGGCACACTCTGTCTGCTCTGCGGCCCTGGCCCCCGAGTGCGGCTTCGGACGCCTCCGCTCCCTGGTCCTGCCGCCTGCATGCGTGCGCCTGCTGCCTGGCGGCTTCAGTAAGACTCAGAGCTTCCGCATCGCCGAGACCATGGAGCCAGGTGAGGCGTGGGCCAGCCGGGCCGCCCTGGGCTGGGGGCTGCACACTGAGTGAGGGGTCCGTGTGCCCATCCCGCAGGTGACGGGGGAGACGGTGCGGATGGGAGTGCTGCTGCGGGGCCAGGCAGAGAGACGCCGGTGCCTCCAGAGTCCGGTAAGTGTCCGCCTCATGCCTCCCATGCCCCACCATCTCCCGGGTGCCTGGGACCCATGGAGTTTCCCCGGCCTAGGGAAGAAAACACTGAAGATCTTCGATGGCGATGAAGCGGTGAGGAGAAGCCAGTTCCGCCTCATCACGGTGTCCCGTCTAGCCAGTGTGGAGGAGGTGTTGGTAAGGGGGAGCCTGGGGCAGGTGTCTGAGCACCCACCTCCACTGCGTGTCCCACACCTGGCGCCCCTGACCTGTCTTTCCCAACATGGTACCCCTCACCCACCTACCCCCACCTCCCCAACATCACCCTCCCAACAACTTGGCTCCCCCAACCTGACGTCCTGCAGGAGGCCGCGCTCCGGGCCCACCACATCCCCGAGGACCCTGGCCACCTGGAGCTGTGCCCGCTGCCCCCTTCCTCACAGGCCTGTGACGCCTGGTCTGGGGGCAAGGCCGGGAGTGCTGTGATCTCAGAGGAGGGCAGAAGCCCAGGGTCTGGGGAGGCCACGCCGGAGGCCTGGGTCATCCGGGCTCTGCCTCGGGCCCAGGAGGTCCTGAAGATCTACCCTGGCTGGCTCAAGTGAGACTGGGCCTGAGGCTCAGGGTCTGCTGGGTGGGGTGGGGGGAGCTCCAGCTCAGGCTGCGTCCCCACAGGGTGGGCGTGGCCTACGTGTCCGTGCGAGTGACCCCGCAGAGCACCGCCCGGTCCGTGGTGCTGGAGGTCCTGCCGCTACTCGGCCGCCAGGTATGTACCCTGGGCCTGCTTCCCATCCTGGCCAGACTTGGTGGGGGGGTCACTGTCCCCAGGATGCCAGGCCGCCATCACAGCCCAGGCGTGCCTGTCCCCATGGGTGTCCTGAGGTGTTGGGGCCTGCCCAGACCTGATGCCGGCCTCTGCTTCAACAGGCCGAGGGTCCTGAGAGCTTCCAGCTGGTAGAGGTGGCAATGGGCTGCAGGCACGGTGAGTAGGTGGCCGGTGGTGGGCTGGCGGTCTCCACGCCTTCCCGGCGTGGGCCGCTCCCAGGCTCTCCCTTAGGGTGGTGCTGGACATCAAGGCCGGGCCCTGTCCTCCTGACCAGCTCTACCCTGCATCCCCACGGGCCCCGGGGGCTCAGGGCAGCTGTTTCCAATGTGGGCGAGGAGCCTGGTGCTGACGGGCTGTGCCCCTCACCTCTGCAGTCCAGCGGACCGTGCTGGCGGATGAACAGCCCCTGCTGGCCCGGCTACAGGATATCCGGCAGGTCAGTGAATGTGGACGCCGGCCCCCAGGAAACCAGCAGCCCTCAGCCACAGCCTCTGCCCTGCAGGGTGCATGTGCCCCAGACGCCAAGTCCTCAGCTAGGCAGCGGCTGTTCCAGCTGGCAGGGCAGTGCCCTGTCATAAGTTACTTGGTTCCTGCAAGGAGGCCTTGAGCCACAGACCTCCCTGAGGTCTTTGAGGGAAATGGGCAGGGTTGTCCACAGCAAGGGAACCTCTGTGGTCTCTCTCCTCATTTTCATGTTGACTTGATTCTGGGACTCTTCCCAACCCCCGGTTTTGCGGATGAGGAGGCAGAGGGTCTGGTGCCGGCGGTCCGTTCTCCCCGGCCCAGCGTCCTCGCCCCCTCCCTGCAGGTGTCCGTGCGGCAGCTGAGCCAGACGCGGTTCTACGTGGCAGAGAGCAGGAATGTGGCCCCGCACATCTCCCTGTTCGTTGGCGGCCTGCCTCCCGGCCTGGCCCCCGAGGAGTACAGCAGCCTGTTGCTTGAGGCTGTGGCTGTCGAAGGTGTGAGCTGCATGGCTGGCCGTGGGCTGCTGGCTGGGGATGGGGTCTGGCAGCTGTGGGGCTGCAGTGCTGAAGCCGGCTCCTGCCTCTCCTTGAACCACTGAGGCCTGAGTGCCAGGGCCAGTCCATGTCACTTCCTGCAAGGTGCTTTGGAGCTTCCCGCCCTCTGTGGCCCTTCCCTGTGGTACTGGGCCTCCACCTTTTCCTCTCCCTCTGGGGGGCCCTGTGCCTCTGGGGAGCTGGGAGCCCTGCTCCTGAAGTGGGGAGTTGGCCCTTGGGGTGTGATGTCACCCTGAACAGGCCGGGGGGCTGGCCCTGGCCACCAGCGCTCCGCGTCCTTCACTTTCCACCACCCTGACCACAGCCTGCCTTTGCAGCCACTATGGTGTCTGTGAGTCACGTCTACTCCTCCCAAGGTGAGCTGCCCTGATAGACGTGGTCACATGGGGCCCAGGGGTGTTCCTGGGGTGGGGCGGGACAGCCCTGATGTCACGTGGCACCTGATCTTTCCCTCGGTCAGCCCTGGGCTGGGGAAATGTCTTGGTTCTGTTCCTGCCCGGGCACCGTGGGGGCCGTGGGACAGGCTCCCCCTGAGTCCTGGGCTGCTGCCACAGGTGCGGTAGTGCTGGACGTCGCCTGCTGTGCAGAGGCTGAGCGGCTGTACGCGATGCTCAAGGACACGGCTGTGCAGGGTCGCCTGCTCACTGCCCTGGTGCTCCCTGACTTGCTGGTGAGTGAGTGGCCGAGCCGGCTCTTCACACACCCCAGGGGTGGCCAGAGGGAGTCTGGGTCTGCAGGTGCACAGTCCCCACAGCCAGACCCACTCTTTTCGTCGGGCGTCTCTTCCTCAAGTTTGCTGGGGGCTTGTAGGTGCCACCCATTTGTGCCTCACAACAGCAGGAAGGACACTGTTGCTGGTTTTACACCCTTGACCAAGGGGCCTGAGGTCAGAGGGTCAGTGCTCATCTGAGGCTGCCCGTGGGTGATACCAGTTCCCTAGGGCCCCGTGGGGCCAGGCCCAGGTTCCGCACTACACCCAAGGCCTCCACCCAGTAGGGAGGCCCACAGGACGTGGCTCCTGGATGTGCTGGGTCCCGCTGCGGCTGCCTCGTCACGGGCCAGAGCATGTCTGTGACCAGCTGTCAGCATCCCAGGCACAGCGCTCTCGGTACAGCCCAGCCCCTCCCCAACCCGGGAGGCCTCAGGACCTCTGCTGTCAGCCTGGAGCTCCCAGGGGAGTCGGTGCAGCTCCCAAACTTTGGATGCTACCCTTAAGATCTGCAGTGCCCAGAATAGGGGGCACCTGGCAATGGGGCAGGACTGGGGGGAAGGGGCACGGCCCACAGAGGAGCAGGAGGCTGGGACTTCACCCTGCACGCCGTGCCTTCATAGCAGGCTCTCGGCCTCAGCCCATCCAGCCCCAAAACGGTCCTGTAAGGACCCCGAGGTGTCCATGCTGCTCTGCCCTGAACCCTGACCCTTGACCCTGACCCCAGTTCAGGTGAAGCAGAGCTAAAGCAGAATGAGTTGTCTGTGGCTGGGACGGGTGCTGCCTGTGGGTCCTTCCTGTGCCTTCCCTACCTGGCCTTGCCTGGCTCAGGACAGGGTGGCCATCCTTGCTGTCCCGAGGACGCAGCCCCTGCCCCAGCCCACTCGCTCTGTGGGTGGAGCCAGGTGTGGGCCGACACCCCTGCCCCAGCCCACTCGCTCTGTGGGTGGAGCCAGGTGTGGGCCGACACCCCTGCCCCAGCCCACTGGCTCTGTGGGTGGAGCCAGGTGTGGGCCGACACCCCTGCCCCAGCCTACTTGCTCTGTGGGTGGAGCCAGGTGTGGGGTGACACTCCTTCCCCAGCCCACTCGCTCTGGGCGGAGCCAGGTGTGGGGTGACACCCCTTCCCCAGCCCACTCGCTCTGGGCGGAGCCAGGTATGGGGCCGACACGCGCTTTCTCTCTCCCGTCAGCTGCCTGCCCTGGGGTGAGTGGTAAGTGGTGACCACAGGCGGCTCTGCCTGCCGAGTGGGTCTCGAAGCCCCGAGTGTGTCCTTGCCCCAGCCACGGCCGGCCCCTGCGCCGCCGCCCACCCTGTGTCTGCACCCAGCCTGTCTGTCTCCTTTGCCCAGCCTTCCTCTCTATGGGGGCCCAGACTCTTGTTGTAGGGACCCCAGCTCTGAGCCTGCTGTGTCTGGATCTGAGCACTGCTTCCTGGGGTTGTGTGGGGAGTTGGGCTCTTCTGTGGCCAGGGGACGACGCGTGCCACCCTGTGAGTTTAGAGCTTTTCTCAGCTGCTGTCTAGGCAGGTGGGGGCCTAGGAGCGACTTCCTCCAAAGGTGTGCACCAGAGGCCCCCCGGGGCAGCCTCGGTCTCAAGCTGTGCCAGGGAGAGTGCCACGTGCATTTCCAGCCTGAATTCACAGGCTGCATGGCCCAGGCAGGCGTGGTCTGTTCACACTCGGTTCAGTGGACAGGTCTGAGGCCTTTGTGCTGGGAGCGCCAGGCAGCCAGCAACGAGGTGGGGTGACCGTGCAGCTTATGTGCGAGGCCTCATGCGTGCGGGTGCTGGCCATGCCTTCCTGGGATGGGGGCTGGTCCAGGCCGGGTAGGCTCAGGGTTGGGGGCCAGGAGCTGCCTGGCAGCCTTCAGCAGTGGGGACACCTCACTTTGGGTCCCCATGCTAACCCAGCCCCCTGTCTGTTAGCACACGAGGCTGCCCCCAGACAGCCGTCCCCTCCTTGTGTTCGTGAACCCCAAGAGTGGAGGCCTCAAGGGCCGAGACCTGCTCTGCAGCTTCCGGAAGCTGCTGAACCCCCACCAGGTCTTTGATCTGACCAACGGGGGTCCTCTTCCTGGGTGAGTCCAGTAGGACCCCTGGTACTGGGCAGCAGTGGGGGCGGGAAGGGCCCCAGGAGGGTACCACAGCTGTCTCGGCCAGCGGGAGCTCCACTGGGATCCCACGCCGGGGCCTTGAAGTCCCCCACATGGCCAGGAAGGGCATCTGAAAAGCAAGGGGCAGCCTGGGTGGGGGTGGGCTGCCCCGCGGCTGCTAGAGGACATTTCCTGTCTGTCTAGGCTCCACGTGTTCTCCCAGGTGCCCTGCTTCCGGGTGCTGGTGTGCGGTGGCGACGGCACCGTGGGCTGGGTGCTCGGCGCCCTGGAGGAGACGCGGCACCGACTGGCCTGCCCGGAGCCTTCTGTGGCCATCTTGCCCTTGGGCACAGGTGGGGTGAGCCGTGCACAGAGGAGGGGGCCTCAGGGTCTACCCCTTCCTGCCCTAGCTTTCACTGAGGCCTGGGCTGGCGTCTGTCCCCATGGTGGGGTGTGCGCCCTGTTGATGGGCGGTGGGTGTGGACAGCCGCTCTGCATCTGTGTCCCAGGGAACGACCTTGGCCGAGTCCTCCGCTGGGGGGCGGGCTACAGCGGTGAGGACCCCTTCTCCGTGCTGCTGTCTGTGGACGAGGCTGATGCTGTGCTCATGGACCGCTGGACCATCCTGCTGGATGCACATGAGGCTGGCAGTGTAGAGAACGGCAGGGCAGACGCAGAGCCCCCCAAGGTACAGGGCGGCCTGGTGTGGGGTGTTCTTCAGGCTCCTGCATGTGACGTCGCCACACGTGTCACAGTGGGCGTCCTCCCAGCCACACACGGGTGTACGCACCCACAGCTGAGGGAGGCACAGTAGGCGGCCACTGCTGGGGATGGTGGCCAGCCGGCTGGCGACATAGGCTGCCCAGGACCCGGCACGCTGCCTTCCTGGGTCCTGGGCTTGTTGCTGGGGCAGCCCTTGCCTTGTCTGCCTGCCAGCTGGAGGCAAAGAACTAGAGTAGCTGTTGGGGAGCTCAGGGAGCCTAATGAGGGCTGCTGGGTCCTGGGAGATGAACGCCTGTCCCCAGATCGTGCAGATGAGTAACTACTGTGGCATTGGCATTGACGCGGAGCTGAGCCTGGACTTCCACCAGGCACGGGAAGAGGAGCCTGGCAAGTTCACAAGCAGGTACTGGAGCCGCAGAGACCGCTGCCTGGTTCCCTCAGGTTCCCCAGCAGGTGCCAGAATCTCAGGGGCTACCACCTGGGAGGGTGTTCACCCAGTTTCCCCAGGGGACAGGCAGAGGGGCCAGAGGCTGTCTCAGGAGGGTGGGGCTCCCTGGTGATGGGCGGCGTGTCCCGTGCTGCAGGCTGCACAACAAGGGTGTGTACGTGCGGGTGGGGCTGCAGAAGATCAGCCACTCTCGGGGCCTGCACAAGGAGATCCGGCTGCAGGTGGAGCGGCAGGAGGTGGAACTGCCCAGCATCGAGGGCCTCATCTTCATCAACATCCCCAGGTGCCCCTGGGGGGCTTCCGAGGGGCTCTGCCCAGCGGAGCTGTGGGCGGGCTCAGCCCTCATCAGGCCTGCACTGACACCTCTGTGCCCACTCTCTTATGTGGCAGTTGGGGCTCGGGGGCCGACTTGTGGGGCTCCGACAATGACGCCAGGTTTGAGAAGCCGCGCATGGATGATGGGCTGCTGGAGGTGGTGGGTGTGACGGGTGTCGTGCACATGGTGAGCCGCTGGCCAGGTGGATGGGTGGGCCCGGGGCAGTGTCGCTGGTCCCCACTGAGCCCAGCTGGCCTCTCCTGCCCCAGGGCCAGGTCCAGGGCGGGCTGCGCTCCGGAATCCGGATCGCCCAGGGTTCCTACTTCAGAGTCACGCTCCTCAAGGCCACCCCGGTGCAGGTGGACGGGGAGCCCTGGATCCAGGCCCCTGGACACATGATCATCTCAGCTGCAGGCCCTAAGGTACATGGGGTGAGGCTGGAGAGACAGGGGAGGTAGGCTGGGTCAGGTGGGCTGTGGGAGTGGCCAGTGATGCCCAGAGGGTGGAGCATAGTCTGCTGCCCCTGGCCAGGGTCTTCCTTGGCTCCAGGAGGGTGCCTGCCTCAGGAGGGCTGTGCCGGTGGTCAGGGCCACAGGTGGCGCATGTGCGGCCGGGCAGGTCCTTCCCCTTCCATGAAATGGAAGATAGCTTCAGCTGCCCAGTCCGAGGACTGGGGGCTGCCAGTACACTGTTCCTCCGTTGGCCACGTCACCCTGGCCCTCTGTCCTCTGTCCCGGGACAGGTCCACATGCTGAGGAAGGCCAAGCAGAAGCCGAGGAGGGCCGGGACCACCAGGGATGTCCAGGTGGATGCCGCGCCTGCCCCTGAGGGCGATCCTAGGTAGGGGTGGCCGGGGCTCCTGCGGTCTCTGCCCCCACTGGTGTGTTTTCAGGTGGTCTGGAGGCAGCTGTGTCCACACAGTGGCCAGCCCCGTGGTCCGACCTGGCTTCAGCCCTGACTGCAGACCTTCCTGGGCCTGGAGCGGGACCAGCCCTCATCCCATTGGTGCCACACATGGGTGTCACCACCTTCATCCCACTGGAGACTGCTGTGCAGGTGGCAGTGTGTCCCACGTCCCGCGTGGGCACGGGCTCTGGCTGGCAAGCCCTCTGCCCTGTGGGGGCCCAGTCCTCTCTTGGAGGGTGAGCACCCATCCCTCCATACCTCTCCCCACTGAGCCCCTTGAGCTGGACAGTGCTGGACGCAGGCCGTCCAGGTGGGTCTGACCTTGCTTTGTGCCCCTCAGGCTGTGCCCCTGGCTGGTCCTTCACAGCAGCAGGCTCCCTGGCATGTCCCTGTCCCAGCACACATGCTGACAACCCCTCTAGCCTCACTTCGCCACCCCCGGCAGCCCCTGGCAGGCAGCGTTTATCGGGCTGCCAGGTGGTGGTGACTGGTGACTTCCTCGTGTGTCTCGGGGGAGTGGAGAAGGTGCCTTCGTTTTCTGGCCTTGTTATCTATAGATGGCAGCTTGGACCCCAAGTGCAGCCGCAGGGGTAGGCAGTGCCCGGCTGCCCTTTCCTAGTGCCTGTGCTGGGGGAGGAGAACCTCTGTCCGCATGGAGGGCAAGTCTTGGGTGCCGCCCTGACAGCACCGTAGCGTGCATCTGCTCCTCAGCCCTCAGGGTGGGCACTTAGCACGCAGAAGGGACCAGAAGCAGGGCCCAGCGGTGCAGAGGAGCTGGAGGTGTAAATAGCTCTATGCGTGTGGTGGAGCTGGCTTTCAGTCCCAGACCCCACGCTAGCACTTTCTGCGCTGCTTGAAAGCCGTTGACGTGTAGTTTCGTGTTTGTGTGAGCTGCTGTGCTCGGCCCTGTCCCTCGTCAGCATGTGGAGATCCTGCTCCTGCAGTGCCCCTGCTCCCATGCCCCCAGACAGCTCAATGGAGGGGGCTGCGTCTGGGCCAGACTGGGGTGCATCCAGAGACAAAGCTGCTTCCACGTGCTCAAGGATTCAGACGGCACACTAGCTCTGGGAGGAGTCTGACCAAAAATTATGCCGCCTCTGCGGGAAGCCTCCTGACTCCCCCCACGAGAAATGGTCCCAGAGTCCCGGTCGCGCCCTTTCCCTTGTGGGGCACAGCTGGCCTGGGCCTCCTATTCTGGGCCAGGGCTTTCCTGGGTGTGGCCTTGACCTCAGAAGTGGCTCTGGTTTGGCCCCAGGAGTATGTGGCCTGGCCCAGCCTGCAGCCTCCTGGCAAGCCCTTGGTGCCACTAACCCCCCAGCGCCGCCCCCCTCCCCGCCGCTTCTGCCAAAACTGCACAGACATGCATTGTCAGGCCACTTGTGGCCTCCAGTGTACACACCTGTTTACGTCATCTGTCCCACCGTCAAAACCAGCCCCTTGTGTGTGACTAGTTTCGCTTCGCAAGTCTTGGTGTGTAACTGTGGTAAGGGGATTGTCCTGTGTGAGCGAGCCTATGCCCTGCACACTGGGCCCCTGTGTATTTATCGCTGCCTGAATGCAACAGTAATTTATATCTGGGACAAATACAGACTGGGCATCACTGTCCTGCTGTCTCCTCATCTTTGTGTCAACCACCAAGGTGGGAAAGGGAGGGGAAGGCTTAGCACTGTCCCCCCCAGGGCAGCTCTGTATAGGTCGTGAAGGGGGCTGGGAATGGGCAGTCCCTCAGTGGGTGGGTGTGGCAGTGTCTTCGTGTTGGAGAGAGTGGATAGGCAAACGCCACAAGGCACATTTCAAGTTCCTGGGAAACCCCTCACTACAGAAACTGGAACACAATTTGAGGACTCAGATAGAACATATTTCACAGTGAAAATAAAACCAGGCCACAGGAGAACCACTGAGGCCTGCCCGTAACTCAGCTTCCCCCACCCAGCGTCCTGTCCTCCTGGGTCCATATCTGGTGGTGGCTGGGAGTGGGCCCTGTGGCTGCTAGCAGGGGGAAGGGAGGAGCTGGGCCTGTGGGTCGTCCTGGCCCGTGGGGGCCGGTGGGGAACGTTGGGGCCGGGCTAGGCCCCGCAGGAACCGCAGGCTGGTCAGGGCCAGGCCCACGAGCAGGCGCAGCAGCAGGAAGGCGCAGGGCACGGCGATCTGTGTGAGATGGAAGATGCCCGCGCTGAACCTGCTCAGCAGGCAGGTGGAGGCGAAGGCCAGCAGGCTGGCACAGGGGTACAGGGCCAGCTTGGCAAACATGAGCACGTGCTCCTGGCCGCCAAACCACACCGAGGGCTGCAGCGTCTCTGCCTGGTGCAGCAGCGCCGTGGTCCAGATGGCGAGCTGGAAGATGCTGGCCAGGAAGATGATGGCGCAGCTGACGCGGACGCGCTCCAGCTCATCGCGGGGCTGCCGGGCGAAGGCCGAGGTCTGCTGGTAGGCCAGTGGGAGGCCACCCACGAAGGCCAGCGAGAACGTGTTGAGCAGCCCCATGGCCTGCGTGGCCTTGCGCACGTGCAGGAAGAGCGAGTGGTGGGCGAACCACAGCAGTGCCACAGTGGCGAAGGAACCAAAGTATGCCAGGAAGCGCGGCCCGAACACGCTCAGCGCAGCCACGAGGCTGCCGCCGAACCTCTCCTTCACGTTCTTGGGGTCCGGCACGTTGTCCTCGCTGAGAACAGGGAACAGATGGATTTGTGCTGGCCTCATCGAGGCTACACAGGCCCCCCGCACGGTGTGCTGAGTGCCTGTCAGGGCTGCCTGGCCGCGGCACGTGGCTTTTCAGATGAACGACGTGGACTTTGCAGCAGGCTAAATTGCAGAATGCATATTTATATATATGTGGCACACTGACCTAACATTATGTGCTGTTCATCTGAAATTCCACGGTTACTGGCACCCTTCTGCTTCGTGCTAAAGGGAACCCAACCCTGCTGGCCTGAGTGCTGCTGGGGGCCCTCTCTGGCCGAGTGCGTCTGCAGTGCAGGGCCAGGCTCCTGTGGGGCAGCAAGGTCTGTTCCCCCTCAGCTTCCAGCCCTCGGAGCCACCCACATAACACCTCGACCGGAGATGTGCGGAGGGCTTGTCTCCATGGTTCTCAGATGCACATGGCATCTTGGGAGGCCAACTCCCAGGCCGGACTCTGCGGCCCCAGGAGGCTGTGGGAACCACCCTGGTCAGGGCCGCTGCCTTCTGACGGCACCACCCAGGAAGCCGGGAATGGCATCGTTTCAGCACGGTGGTCCTCAAGCAGCCCCACACAGACTCTGTCCTCCAGAATGACAGGCAGAGGGTGGGGGGTGGGGGTGGGGGTAGGAGCCAGTGGGGGCAGCAAGGGCAGGAAGTTGCTGGGAGCAGGCAGGTCACCCTGGAGCATCCCTTGCACCTGGGCCTTAGAGACAGGTGCCAACCAACGTTTGTTTCCCGCTTTTAAAAATGCACACATTGCAGCAGAGAAGAGCTACCAGGAGAGCATTGGGAGACTCGGACTTGAGAATATAAAGCACAGAACATAAAACCATAAACCGTAGTGTCTTACCCTAACGAGATCACAGTGCTGCACTATGACCAGGGAACAAGACACTTCAAAGATGTGAGAAAGCAAATTAAAACGTGATGACTACCAGGCATGATGGCTCATGCCTGTAATCCCAGCCCTTTGGGAGGCCAAGGTGGGCAGATCACCTGAGGTCAGGAGTTTGAGACCAGCCTCGAAAACGTGGTAAAACCCCATGTCCACTAAAAATACAAAAAATTAGCCGAGGGTGGTGGTGGGCGCATTAGTCCCAGCTAGTCAGGAGGCTGAGGCGGGAGAACCGCTTGAGCCACTGCACTCCAGCCTGGATGACAGAGCCAGATTCTGTCTAAAAAAACCACCAAAACCCAAAAACCAAAATATGACAACCAAGATGAGCACTTTAACAGATGAGGCAGTGGAGGAGCAGATGCTGGAAGGAAGTGGAAGCAACAGCAGGCCGTGGGGAGTGGGAGGGGCCTGGGAAGTGGGAGGAGCCTGGGGAGTGGGAGGGGCCGTGGGGAGTCGGACAGGCCTGCAGGGCTGGGAGGTGATGGGGGACTGGGAGACGACGGAGGGGCTGCTGGGAGGAACTGGTGCTGGGGCAGGGGTGAGGCCTGGGGTAGGGGGATACCCACGGCTGCTGAGCCCTTCTGGGAAGAATGAAAAGAACAGTTGGCAGCTGGTGCTGACTTCGCCTTGGCACCCCATTCCCAGCCTGCACTTGGGGCGGGGGCCGCTGGGAAGGGAGGGGGACTGTTTGGAAGGGAGGGCTGTCTTCCCTGACGTGGGGGCTGCCCTGACCTCACATAAAACTTTAGACATCCAGGGGAGGTGGAGCCGAGACCCCTGAACCTTTCTGGGGTTCCCAGGACACACTGGGCACCCCATATAGCTGGGGCAGGTGGCATGGGGTCCTCACCAGATATCCAGGATGAGAAGGGTGGCCACGATGGCGTAGACGCCGTCACTGAAGGCTTCCACCCGCTCCTTGCTGAGCGGCTCATGAAGGTCAAATGTGAAGACTTCCACTGGGTGAGCCGAGGGCTCCCTGTGGCCTGTGGACAAGCCAGGAAGGTGGAGCTGGCCAAGCCCCACCACACGGAGCCACAGCCTGTGTGGCTGTCACTGCCCCATCCCAGAAGAGACCTGGAACGTGCAGGCCAGGAGAGGAGACAGCACAGAGACACCCCGAAGGACAGAGCAGGGGAGCCCTGGCCACTACCACGCACGGAGGCATTGGCCCATGCACGGCCCTCAGTGTGGAGCGGCCACGGAGAGGCGGGAGGCCGTTGGCCTCGAGCCAGCCAGTCATCACCTACCCAGGAGCCTGTCTCGGCACCAGCTGGCGGCCTTGCTGACGTAGGGGAGGAGGATGACGGTTGCCATCAGCAGGTAAGACTGCAGGGAGACACACCACAGGTTAGCGCCGTCCACATGGGGCCGAGGCCAGACACAGCTGTCTGTGTGTGCCAAAGAACTGGCAGCGGCAGGAGGGAGGGTTCTGTAGATCATGTATCTGACAGGGCCAAGCAGCCAAAAAGTGTCACGAATTCTGAAGCCCAGCACAGTGGCTCATGCCTGTAACCCCAGCGGCTCATGCCTATAACCCCAGCACTTTGGAAGGCTGAGCAGGTGGGTTGCTTGGGCCCAAGAGTTTGAGACCAGCCTGGGCAACATAGTAAACTGCATCTCTCCAAAAATAAAAATTATCCAGGCGCGACTAAGTGTGCCTGTTGAACCTGGAAGGCAGGAGTTGCAGTAAGCAGTGATCCAGCTCGCTGTACTCCAGCCTGGTGAAAGGGCAAGACCGTGTCTTAAAGGCTGCCTGCTTGCAGTTCTGACAACTCACCAATAAAGACAACCCAATTAAAAATGGGCAAAGGATGACAACAGACATTTTTCCAAACGAAATGTGCAAATGGTCAACATATTCATGAGAAGATGCTCAACCCCCTCCGCCATGATTAAAACGCACATCAAACCACAATGAGATTCGACCCCCTCCGCCATGATTAAAACGCACATCAAAAACCACACCAAGATTCCTTCACACCCACTAAGATGCAGACAAATGAAAAACAGCAGGTGTCAGTGAGGATGTGGAGAAATGAACTGCTGTGTGCTGCTGGTGGGAACATAAAATGGTGCAGCTGCTGTGGAAGTTTGGTGGTTCCTCAACAAATTAAACCAAAAAAAATTCAACACAGAATCACCATATGACCCAGCAACTCACAGCTGGGCACACACACAAAAGACCTGAGAAGACAGATCTGAAGAAACAGTGGAATCACTCGACGGCCACACGTGTCCAGGAATGCTCACAGCAGCATCACTCACAATAGCTACGTGTCCAGGAATGCTCACAATGGCTTCACTCACGATGGCCACACGTGTCCAGCAATGCTCGCAGCGGCTTCGACTCACGACAGCCACACGTGTCCAGCAATGCTCACAGCAGCTTCACTCACGACAGCTACACGTATCCAGGAATGCTCACAATGGCTTCACTCACGATGGCCACACGTGTCCAGCAATGCTCGCAGCAGCTTCACTCACGACAGCCACACGTGTCCAGCAATCCTCGCAGCGGCTTTGACTCACGACAGCCACATGTATCCAGCAATGCTCACAGCGGCTTCACTCATGACAGCTGAAAGACGCAGATTCCCAGATCTCCATCTACGGCTGAATGCGCCCACGTGACGTGGCACAAGACTCACAATGGACTCGGCCATAAAGAAGAAACACGGTTTTGACATGGCAACAACATGGGTGAATCTCGACAATGTTAAGAGGCCAGATACGAAAAGGCCACATACTATATGAGTCTCTGCATATGTAGAATCCAGAACACACAAGTTTATGGACACAGAAAGCGTATCTGGCTCCCAGGGACTAGGTGCTGACCTCATCAGCCTGCTCCGTCACTCAGTCACGACCAGAAGGGGCTGTCCCATCTCTGACACCAAGACTGCCTCAGACTGCTCCCCCTTATCCCTGTCCACTGTGCTGGCCACCCACCCACCTGCTGCCTCTGCTCAGGACTCAGCCCACCTGCCCTCTGCCCAGAGCCCCTGCTCTGCTCTGACCTCACAGAG